CTGTGTAGTACCCCATCATTAGTTTTTGATGTAGTGTTCAATGATTCTTTAATTACATATAACACCCAGTGCTCATCACAACATGTGCCCTCCTTAATACCCATCACCTGATTACTCCCTCCCCCACCCCGTCCCCTCTGAAACCCTCAGTTTTTTTCCCAGAGTCCAGAGTCTCTCATGGTTTGTCTCCCTCTCTGATTTCTCCCCCTTCAGATTTCCCTCCCTTCCCCTATGGTCCTCCGTGCTATTGCTTATCATGGAAGACTTCTGAATAGTTTTCTTTTTCCTCTTTTTATTCATTGAGGTATGATTGACATATTAGTTACAGGTGTACAACATAATGATTCAGTATTTGTATATATTGCAAAATGATCACCACCATAAGTCTAGTTAATATCCATAGCACACGTAGTTACAGAATTTTTTTCCTGTGATGAGAACTTTTAATATCTATTTTATTAGCAACTTTCAGATATGCAATACAGTATTATTAACTATAGTTGCCATGCTATACATTACATCCCATAACTTATTTATTTTATAACTGGAAAATTGTACCTTTTGATTCTCTTTACTCATTTTGCCCCATCCCTCACCCCCTCTTCTGGCAATCTCCCATTTTTTCTCTGTATCTATGAGCTTTTTTTTTTTTTAACTCTACATATAAATGAGATCATGGGAATTTGTTTTTCTCTGTTTGACTTAATTTACTTTTTAATTCACTTAGCATAATGCCCTCAAGGTCCATCCATGTCACAAATGGAAAAATTTCATTCTTTTTATGGCCAAATAATACTCCATTGTGTGTGTGTGTGTGTGTGTGTGCGTGTGTGTGTACATCTCACAAGTTCATTATCCATTCATCCATTGATGGACATTTAAATTTTTGCCATATCCTAGGCAGCATTTCTTATATCTTGTCTTTTTGATAATAGCCATTCTAACAGGTGCGATGTACTATTTCATTGTGGTTTTGATTTCTCAATCCTTTAAGTGATTTTTTCATTCATTTTTTAATGTCATTATTTATATGTCTGTATGTATGTCTGCCATTTTGAATTTTCCTATGTTCCATAACTATTTGTTCCTCCCCTACTATCTCCTTTTGTCATAAGTGCATATTTTCTTGTTTTTAATGTTTTTTAAAATTATCTTTTTATTAGAAATAATTGTTTATTCCTATGTTCTTGTAAGAATATTCAGAATATTTAGAGATTATTATCTGTGATAGATCTCTTGGTCCCAAACAAAAACTTTTATTCTGAAGTTTTTACTCTTGAGTATCTCAAACCATCTTGTTCTTTCATTCAATCCTGAAAAATCTATGATTTTGCCCTATCCTCGGTTTAACACACTTTTAAGCAACTACTCAATTTCTTTGATGAACTTTCTGCCCTATCTGCTATCCAAAAATTATGTTCTTGGTCTTCTTTATTACTTACAGATGGATGAGTTATAAATTTGGTTTGAAACATTTAACATAGCTTTGTTATCTCAAATGTTGGCATAGAGTGCTTAAATTATTGATTGTTCACCTTAATATTTATGTGTTTGTGGATTTGTGTGGTTTATGTGTACACATTGCCAATAGTGTTTGTTTTCTTTTTTACTGAATAAAATATGAATAAAACATATATTAAAATAAAAAGGTTATATAGAGATCCTGTATATCCTTTATTTTTTCCAATTTGTAATAACAAAATATTATAATACAGTAGTACATCTAGGATATTGACACTCATAGTCAAAATACAGAATAACTTCAAATGAGGATCTGTTGTGTGGCCTTTTCACAGCCACACCCAGTTCTCCTTCATTCCCCTTTCCCTGATCTCTGAAGACAACTAATTTCTTCTCCATGTCTATATATGTTTTAATTTCCAAAATGTTATATAAATGGAATCATTCAATATATAACATTCTTGGATTGTCTTTTTTCACACAACCATTCTGAATGTTCTCCCAGCCTTAACTACTTCTTAAACTTTAAAGTCAATCTGCCTGCTCTTAGTGCCAATTTCTCTTACTTGAAGAAAAACTGATAGAGCCAATATGAGTATTTTAGGGTCTTCAAGGTGAATTATATTGTTGCACTGGTCTATCACCTAAATTTCTTAAATCTTCTTAATCATTTATTACTTATCTGTTCTTCAGTTTTCAAATTTTGTGTTTGTTTTTGCTTTTCTTTTATTTGTGCTTTTGAAACTTTATTTTTCTATTAATAATTTTAGTACCTTAATAATTAAGTTAATTAATAATTAATTTAATTAATTATTTAAAATAAGGTTTCAGTAAGGAATGGTTTTGAATGCATATATTCAATATATAATATTTATTCTTCACATTTAAATCTTATAGTTTAAACTAACATTTTCTTTCAACTAGAAATAACAAGTGTTGGTGAGGATGTGTAGAAAAGGGAACCCTCATGCACTGTTGGTGGGAATGTAACCTGGTGAAGCCACTCTGGAAAAGAGTATGGCATTTCCTCAAAAAATTAAAAATAGAGTTACCATATGATCCATCAATACCACTTCTGGGTATTTGTCCAAAGGAAATAAAAACATTAACTCAAAAAGATGTATGCACCCTAGGTTCATTGTAACATCATTTGCAATAGCCAAGACTGAAAACAATCTAAGTGTCCATCAACGGATAAATGGAGAAAGATAATATAGTATATGTATACAATGGAATGTTATTCAGCCAGAAAAGAACAAAGTCTTGCCATTTGTGACAACATGGATGCAGCTTGAAAGCATTATGTTCAGTGAAATAATTCAGACAGAGGAAGATAAAAACTGAATTATCTCACTTATATGTGGAATCTAAGAACAAGACAAAAAAGTTATAGATACAGAGAAAAGAGTGATGGTTTCCAGAGGTGGGGTGTAGGGAACTTCTTTCAGCTATTCTAACAGGTGTGAGATGATATCTCTTTGTAGTTTTGATTTGTAGTTCCCTGATGATTAGTAATGTAATGTTGAGTACCCTTTCATATACCTCTTGGCTATCTGTATATTTTCTCAGAAAAATTGTCTATTCATTTTTTAATTGGCCATTTTTTAAATTAGATTGCTTGTTTTTCTTTTGCTATTGAGTTATATGAGTTCTTTATATATTTTGGATATTAATCCATTATTAGATACATGATTTACAACCCATTTGGTAGATTGCCTTTTCATTTTGTTCATGCTGTCTTTTACTGTACATTAGGTTTTTGGAGTGATGTAGTCCCACTTAATTTTACTTTTGTTGCCTTTGCTTTAAGTGTCAAGTCCAAAAAGTCATTGCCACCTGAGGTGAAAAAGCTTACTGTATGTTGCGTTTTAGGAGTTTTATGGTTTCAGGGTATTACATTCAAGTCTTTAATTCATTATGAGTTATATTTTGTGTATATTGTAAGATAGTGGTACAGTTTCATTCTTTTGTATGTGTTGTTCAGTTTTCTTAATACGATTTATTGAAGGGACTGTTTTTCCCTGTTGTGTATTGTTGGCTCCTTTGTTATAAATTAATTGACCATAAGGTATACATGGACTTATATCTGAGCTTTCTGTTCTGTTCCATTGCTCTGTGTGTTTGTTTTTATGGCAATATCATACCGTTTTGATTACTATAATATTGTAATATATTTTGTAATCAGGGAGCATGATGCCTTTAGCTTTGTTCTTTTTCAAATTTGTTTTGGCTATTCAGGGTCTTTTATGGTTCCACACAAATTTCAAGACTCTTTATTCTATTTCTGTGAAAAATGTCATTGGAAATTTGATAGGCATTACCTTGAATCTGTATATTGCTTTGGGTAGTATGGACAGTTTAACAATGCTAATTCTTCTGATCCATGAACACAGTATATATTTCTATTTTTGTGTGTTTTTAATTTCTTTTATCATTGTCTTATGGTTTTCACTGTACATATCTTTTATCTCCTGTATTTAAACTTATTTCTAGGTATTTTATTCCTTTTAATGCAAATACAAATGGAATTATTTTTTCTTACTAATTGTTTGTGATTAGTATACAGAAATGCAACAGATTTTTGCATATTGTTTTTTTATCCTGCAAATTTACTGAATTTTAAAAATTAGTTTTGTGTGTGTGTGTGTGTGTGTGTGTATGTATCTGTAGGGTTCTCTCTGTATAATATCACGTGATATGCAATTTGTATAGCTTCTTTATTTCTTACCTAGTCGCTCTGGGTAGGATTTTTGATACAATGTTAAATAAAAGTGGTGAGAGTGGGCACCTTTGTCTCGTTCCTGATCTTAGACTAAAAGCTTTCAGGTTTTCCCAGTTGAGTATATTGTTAGCTATAGGCTTGTTATATATGGCTTTTACTATGTTGATGTACCTTCTCTCCATACCCACATTGGTGAGAGTTTTCCTTATGAAAGGATGTTGAAGTTTGTTAAAATGCCTTTCTGCATCTTCTGATGATTCTTCACCATCTGATCATATAATATGTAGCCTTCATTTTGTTGATGTAGTGTATCATTTTGACTGATTTGCAGATGTTGAAACATTCTTACATCCCTGGAAAAAAATCCCTACTGATCACAGTGTATTATCCTTTTAATGTGCTGTTGAATTTAGTTTGTCTATATTTTGTTGAGGATTTTTTGCATCTGTGTTCATTAGGAATATTGGTTTATATTTTTCTTTTGCAGTGTTTGATTTTGTTATTAGGATAATGGTGGCCTCATAAAATGAGTTTGGAAGTGTTCCCTCCTCTTTTGTTTTTGGAAGAGTTTGTAGTATCTTTTGTATTTTATTTTTTAATTTATTTTTTGCCTTTTTAAAATTTTATTATGTTGTGTTAATCACCATACATTACATTATTAGTTTTTGATGTAGTGTTCCATGATTCATTGCATGTCTTTTGTATTCTAAAACATATTTTTCCTATTTTACACTGAGTATATATAATATTACTTCTCTAATAATAATGTTTAAAAACTAATAAATTAGTAATTTAAACAATTTTTTATCTTTTTCAGTATAATCATATGGGCTCTGACACAATTGTTGTCACTCAAAAGATCTTCCAGTTGATTGGACTGACCAATGCTGTAAGTATTTACTTTTTAATTCTTTTTGCATTTGCTTGTGTTACTTAAAGAATTCCCATACTTTTTTTTTATGGCACTGTCTGAATGCACATGATGTATGAAATAGATAAAATTATATGACTATTTTAAGTTTCAGTTTTCTGAGTAGGAATAACAATAGGAATAATAGTTATTATGCATATCTAATTAAGTTATGCTAATTTTAAAATTGATAGAGCACTTCACATGGGGCTTACTGAAGTACAAGCATTTCAAACTGTTAATTATTACTTGTTTTATAAGTAGTACTTATTATTTACTAATATACTCTGTAAGATCTGATCTAGACTTAGCAATTCTGTTGCTTAATATTTGTCATCAGTGTAGTGTTTTATAGATAAATCCCCAGATCTATTTAAACCATGATATTTGAATATATTTTCTTCATGTCTTCTATTTTAGATTTTTACATCATTTAATGTTACAATAATTCTCTCTTCATTGGAACTTTGGATAGATGAAAATAAAATCTCGGTAACTGGAGATGCTAATGAGTTATTACACAGATTTTTAAAATGGAAAAGATCTTATCTTGTTTTGCGTCCACATGATATAGCATTTTTACTTGTGTAAGTATATTTTGGTTTTACTAAGTCTTATACAAAGAAACATCCATATTTGACCTAATTTCTGACAGTTCACAGGCCTATAGGGAAAATATGCCATTTTTTTCCTACGTAGAACATCGTGTGTATATTATTTTTCAAAACACAGTTTTTATAACAGAATTATTGATGTGAATCATTCTATTTACTTGTTTGTAGTTAATACTCTTTCAATATTGTTATCATATGCTTTCTTACCTTAGAATGTGTAACATATCATTAAATGCCCCTAACTATACTTAAAATACTAACAATATCTATCTGAAGAAACACACATGATGAATGTAGTAATTAGGGCTTCTTTTTATGTTTTATTTTCATAAGATAACAAAAAAAAACCCCCAAGGATATGGCAACACTACTGCATATTTTAATATCTCTAACATACCATATTTACATTGTGCTGCAGTTTTAAAAATATAAGCCTCTCCTTCTATTTAATAAGTTCTTTGTTTTTCTCTTATTAATTTTTAGTACCTATATATAATATATTGTTATATAAAAATAATATATATTTACAAAATTATAATATTTGAAATTATTTTCTGTCCTACAAATATGTAATATATTTTCATGATCCTGGTTATCTAATTCTATCCGATTAATGGGAAACTTCAGCCTATAAGGTGACTCTGCCTATTTTATTTATCAGTTGTATTGCTTTAGCTTTCTAATTTTAGGAATTTTATTTATTTTTATTATTTTGATATTCTAGGAATTATTTTTTAAAAATACCACATAATAAAGAATATTGCTTTCTAAAAATTTAATATGAAAATAACTTTCTATTATTTGTTTTTTAAATGTATTTCATTATTTTCAAAACAAGCAGACATCTTTAGTCATTTCCAAGCTTCATTATCCTAATGTTAGGTGGAAATATTTATCAATTTATTATATAAATATGCAAATCAAAATGTTATTAAGAAAATTCAATAGTAATTGTGCTTAATTTTACAAAATTATATGATTATGATCCTTTTTTAAACTTAAGTTACAGAGAAAAATCAAATTATGTTGGTGCAACCTTTCAAGGGAAGATGTGTGATAGCCATTATGGAGGAGGTGTAGCTCTGGTATGGTATGGTTTAATTTGTTTGGCTGAGATGTATAAACAGAATGCTATTTAGATCAATATACAGTTAAATATTTATTTATTTTATTATTTTTATGTATATTAAAATTTGCAAAATGATTCTAAAGATTTTTGTCCCTGCTACAGATTGGAAATGTTGGGACTTTAAAAAGTTCTTATTAAACTTCATAAATAAAAAATTTGTATCCTTTGGGTAAATAATTAGTAGTGCAATTGCTGGATCATAGGGTAGTTCTATTTTTAACTTTCTGAAGAGCTTCTATACTGTTTTCTGGAGTGGTTGCACCACTTTTCACTCTCACCAACAGTGCAAAAGTGTTCCCCTTCCTCTACATCCTTGCCAACCTGTATTGTTTCCTGTGTTGTTAACTTTAGCCATTCCTACAGGTATGAGGTGATATCTCATCATGATTTGTATTTCCTTGATTACCAGTGATGTTGCGCATCTTTTCATGTGTCTGTTGGCCATTTATATGTCTTATTTGGAAAATGTGTGTTCATGTCTTCTGCCGATTTCTTAACTGGATTATTTGTTTTTTGGTTGTTGAGTTTGGTAGGTTCTTTATAGATTTTGGATACTAACCCTTTATCAGATATGTCATTGGCACATATCTTCTCCCATTCCGAAGGTTGCCTTTTAGTTTTGTTGATTGTTTCCTTCACTGAGCAGAAGTTTTTATCTTGATGAAGTCCCGATAGTTTATTTTTGCTTTTGTTTCCCTTGCTTCTGCAACATGTCTAGTAAGAAGTTGCTATGGCCAAGGTCAAAGAGGTTGCTGCCTGTGTTCTCCTCAAGAATTTGGTGGTTTTCTGTCTCACATTTAGGTCTTTCATCCATTTTGAGTTTATTTTTATGTATGGTGTAAGAAAGTGGTCTAGGTTCATTCTTTTGCATGTTGTTGTCCAGTTTTCCCAACAGCAGTTGTTGAAGAGACTATCATTTTTCCATTGGATATTCTTTCCTGCTTTGCCAAAGACTAGCTGACCATGTAGTTGTGGGTCCATTTCTGGGTTTTTTATTCTGTTCCATTGATTTCTGTGTCTGTTTTTGTGCCAGTACCATACTGTCTTGATGACTACAGCTTTGTAATATAGCTTGAAGTCTGGAATTGTGATGCTCCAGGTTTGCTTTTCTCCTTCAAGATTGCTTTGGCTATTTGGGGCCTTTTGTCATTCCAAATTTTAGGATTATTTATTCTATCTCTGTGAAAAATGCTGGTGGTATAACCCTGCCTCCCTAATCTCCCAGAGCTGTGGCATAAAATCTAAGATCTATATCCCTCCGTTGCTGCTTCTTTCTGAAAGTTTATAGATGAAACCACAACCCAGGTGATTTTTGGATGAGTAGAAAAATGTAAGAATAATTAGCAGATGACATTTGATGTCTTGCAACTCTTTTTCCTGGGACTCATCCACTCACTTGTTAGTCACTAATTTACTCACTCATGAGGACTGACACAAGCTAGTTCTTGGCCTCAGGATTTTTATACCATTACATATTACTGGATACATTATCTCAGTTTATGGACTATGTAGATCCTGAATATTAAACATCCTCAGAAGAAAACACAGTACACAATAAATACCACTTGAAGCAGAACTAATTAGCAGTTACAGAAACTTCAAACAAAATAGTGTAAGGTATTATAGAAAAGGACTAATTGGAAGTATTAGGTACAAAAAATATAAATATAATAAATTGCACAAAGTGTTAGATTAAATCAGAATCAGAACCTCTCCTAGGAGACATCAGAAAAGTTATAGGAATAGTAAAAGAAAACTTAAGAGAAATGGATTATTGAAGTAGAAGTGCCAATATCTAGATATTAAGAGTAAAGGAGATTGGGTGCCTGGGTGGCTTGGTTGGTTAAGGGTCTAACTCTTGATTTCAGCTCATGTCATGATCTCAGGGGCATGAGGTTGAGCCCCTGTGGGGCTCTCTTCGCAGCATAGAGTTTGTTTGAGATTCTCTTCCTCTGCCTCTCCTCCCGCTTGAGTGTGCTCTCTCTCTGTCTCTCTCAAATAAATACATAATATCTTTAAAAAAAAAGAGTAATGGAGATAATAATTAAAAAGCCATAAGAAAACCTCAAGGAGAAATGAAAATAAATTTCACCAAATTATAGCCACTATCAGATCAACAAAATCCTTATGCCAGGAAATCCCTTCTGGAGTCTCCCCATAATCTCTTATACTGGATCATCTGGTAGAAGGGGAGAAAACTGGGTTTGCCAGATGAAAAAACAACATAAAACGTCAAAACAGAATAGAAAAAAATGTGCACTAACAATGAAATGAAAAGAAGTCCTAGCAACAGCAATCAGACAACAAAAAGAAATAAAAATTATTCAAATTGGCAAAGAAGAATTCAAACTCTCTCTCTTCGCAGATGACATAATATTTTATGTGGAAAATCCAAAAGACTCCACCCCCAAATTACTAGAACTCATACAGCAATTCAGTAATGTGGCAGGATACAAAATCAATGCACAGAAATCAGTTGCTTTCTTATACACTAACAATGCACCTATAGGAAGAGAAATTGGAGAAATGATTCCATTTACAATAGTGCCAAAAACCATAAGATACCTCAGAATAAACCTAACCAAAGAGGTAAAGGATCTATACTCTAGGAACTACAGAACACTCATGAAAGAAATTGAAGAAGACACAAAAAGATGGAAAAACATTCCATGCCCATGGATTGGAAGAATAAACATTGTTAAAATATCTAAGCTATCCAGAGCAACCTATACCTTCAACGACATCCCAATCAAAATTCCAATGACATTTTTCAAAGTGCTGGAACAAACAATCCTAAAATTGGTATGAAATCAGAAAAGACCCGGAATCACCAAGGAATTGCTGCAAAAGGAGGAATTGTTGAAGGAAATGTTGAAAAAGAAAAACAAAGCTGGGGGCATCACGTTGCCCGATTTCAAGCTATATTACAAAGCTGTGATCATCAAGACAGCATGGTACTGGCAGAAAAACAGACATATAAACCAATGCAACAGAATAAAGAGCCCAGATATGGACCCTCAACTCTGTGGTCAAATAATCTTCGACAAAGCAGGAAAAATATGCAATGGAAAAAAGACAGTCTCCTCAATAAATGGTGCTGGGGAAATTGGACAGCTATATAGAGAAGAATGAAACTCAACCATTCTCTAACACCATACACAAAGATAAACTCAAAATCGATAAAGACCTCAACGTGAGACAGGAATCCATCAAAATCTTAGAGGAGAACACAGGCAGTAACCTCTTTGACATCAGACACAGAGCAACTTCTTTCAAGATTAATCTCCAAAGGCACCTGAGACAAAAGCAAAATTGAACTTTTGGGACTTCATCAAGATAAAACAGCAAAGGAAACAGTCAACAAAACAAAGAGGCAACGCACAGAATGGGAGAAGATATTTGCAAATGACACTACAGACAAAGGTCTGATTTCCAAGATCTATAAAGAACTTCTCAAACTCAACACCCAAAAAACAAATAATTAAGTCAAAAAATGGGCAGAAGACATGAACAGACACTTCTCCAAAGAAGATATACAAATAGCTAACAGACACGTGAAAAAATGTTCATCATCATTAGCCATCAGAGAAATTCAAATCAAAACTACACTGAGATACCACCTTACACCAGTTAGAATGGCAAAAATTGACAAGGCAAGAAACAACAAATGTTGGAGAGGTTGTGGAGAAAGGGGAACCCTCTTGCACTGTTGGTGGGAATGCAAGGTGGTACAGCCACTTTGGGAAACAGTGTGGAGGTGCTTCAAAAAATTAAAAATAGAGCTACCCTATGACCCAGCAATTGCACTCCTGGGTATTTACCCCAAAGACACAGAGGTAGTGAAGAGAAGGGCCATATGCACCCCAATGTTCATAGCAGCAATGTCCACAATAGCCAAACTGTGGAAAAAGTCGAGATGCCCTTCAACAGATGAATGGATAAAGAAGATGTGGTCCATATATACAATGGAATATTACTCAGCCATCAGAAAGGATGAATACCCAACTTTTACATCAACATGGATGGGAATGGAGAAGATTATGCTAAGTGAAAGAAGTCAAGCAGAGAAAATCAATTATCATATGGTTTCACTTATTTGTGGAACATAAGGAATAGCGTGGAGGACATTAGGAGAAGGAAGGGAAAAATGAAGGGGGGAAATCGGAGGGGGAGATGAAACATGAAAGACTATGGACTCTGAGAAACAAACTGAGGGTTTTAGAGGGGAGGGGGTGGGGGGATGGGTTAGCCTGGTGATGGGTATTAAGGAGTGCACATACTGCATGGAGCACTGGGTGTTATGCGAAAACAATGAATCGTGGATCACTACATCAAAAACTAATGATGTATTGTATGGTGACTAACATAACATAATCAAATCAAATAAAAGAACATATTAAATACAAAGAAAAATTGCTTTATTTCCAGAAAAAAGAAAATCATAATAAAAAAGAAGTCCTATAGTGGGAAAAATCTCATTGAATACAAAAAGATTTTATTCTTAAAATAAATAAAAGTACTTTAAAAGCACAAGTAATATCTAAAAAAAATCAAATATAAGACATAATAAAAATAGTCTCAGGTATATAAGTCCTTAAAAGATTTGCCAAATAAATGACTAACATTCAGAATATATTTTTAGAAATTACTTAAAATAGAAAAAGCTACAAGAATTAGGAAACTAAAAGTGAATAAATATTGCTAAATTTTATTATTGTCTTAAAATGAGAATAGCTGGAACTGGGCTGTAGTGTGGAATGACAGGTATTATATCAATATTAAACCAGAGCACATTCTATTATAATGTGGTTAAGCGAGTAATAGAATTGACATGAAAGCATGCTATAGGACTTGTCTTAAGGGAAAGGTATAGATAACGGTAAATTTTAGAAAGAAGTAAGGGCATATGAGATGAATGTTAGTCTTAAGAACAGATAGTAAGAACAAAACTGTACC